CTGCTGCTGAGTAAGGATTTGTACGTCTGTGTCTTATCCCCAACTGCCCCAACCATTGTTGGAATTTAGTTGACATAAATTCAGTACCTCTGTCAGTTTGCAACTGACACACTTGTTGTCTGTACCTTCTCTCTACAAAACTTACCCACTGTTTGAATTGTTGTAGTACCTCTGTCTTATCTCTAAGCAAGTAGCAAAACAAATACCTGCTATAATCATCAACAATTACCATTGCATATTTTGCTCCTCCCAAACTGGCTTGCATAGGTCCCATCAGATCTGCATGGACCAGCTCTAGAGCTCTTTTTGTTTGTCTTGTGCTATATTTACTAACTGGGAATGCCTTTGACTTCGATGCTTTGCATACTGCACAGTCCAAATATGTTTTGCATCCCTTCAAATTTAGCCCTTCTGCAAACTCTTGCATTTGCTGCAAAACTTTAAAGCTTGCATGACCAAGTCCTCTATGTAGAAGATGAACGCATGAATCATGCTCTGCAACATTCTTAAATATATGGGAACATTGAACCTTTGTCCCTGCAATACATATAGATTATCTTCCTTTACGCCTTCTGCACAAATATTCCCATTCCTTTTGATGAGACACTTCCCATTTACAAAAATGATCTCAAAACCTTGTTTGTCTAAATTAGACACACTTAACAAATTATGTTCCATCTCAGGTACACAAAGCACATTGGTAAACTTTGATTCCAAATACGGAATTTTTACATTGCCTCTTCCAATGACTTTTGCTTTCTGGCCATTTGCTTCTTGTGCTACTGGAACAAACCTGCAAAATAATTCAGAGTCATTAACAATTTTTTGACTTGCCCCACTATCTATTAGCCACTTGTCTCTGTTGTTGCTATAGCAAACATTTGCAACACCAAAATGTTCCTTTTGCAAATTAGTCTTCTTTGCATGCACAAATCATCTTTGCTGAAAATTATTCTCCTGCAAACAGTTCCTTTTCAGATGTGTGCTCGCTCCACAAATGTAGCAATTCTTTTCTTGCTGCTTGCAAAATCTCTCTTTTGTTGCAACTTGGTCCCATCTGCTGCTGGTTCCTGCTCTGGAGACTTGCAGTCTGGACCCCCTCCTCAGGAATTTATCCTTCTCTTGGCTGCTTCTAAAATTGTGCTTCTCTTCTTCATTAAGCAAACATGCTTTTAAAGCCTCAAAATTTAAGTCTTGCTCTTCTTTACACTCAAATATAGCAGAAACTGTGTCCCAGGTTTTATCTAAACTGTTCAACACCAATAAAACCTTCTGTGACTCAGGGAATTTAATCCCACGTTGTTCTAAGTCCAAAAATAAACTTTGCATTTTATTTAAATGCTGTTCCACAGATTCACCTGGTTGCAAACAGGCTCTGTAAAGTTTTCTTGACAACTGCACTATATTGCATGCAGAAACATTCTGTCAAGCCCTGCAGGACTTGCCATTCACTGGTGGGGGGTTGGGGCACAGTGCACAGCACCAATACGACGCCGCGGCTGCCCAGCTCCTTGGCAGCACCCCAGCCTGCGCCACGGAACAGAGGAGCCCAAGGTACGGCCCTCCCCCCTCCCTTCCATTCCCGGTGCTGCCGTCTGCCATGCCCGGGCCGGGGCGGGCATGGCCGTCGCAGCCAGACTCAGGGGGAAAGTCGGGAGCGCCGAGCGAGGGGGGAAAGTGCCGAACGCTAACCGGCAAGGCCAGGAAAGCTGGGGGAGAGCTACGAACTGCCGGCGGGCCCAGGCACGGCGGACAGCAGCGCCGGGAATGGGAGGGGGGAGGGCCGTACCTTGGGCTCCTCTGTTCCGTGGCGCAGGCTGGGGTGCTGCCGATGAGCTGGGTGGCCGCGGCGTCGTATTGGTGCTGTGCACTGTGCCCCAACCCCCCACCAGTGAATGGCAAGCCCTGCAGGGCTTGACATGCAGCCCCCTCTACCACGGGTCCTCCTGGAAGAGAAAAGGATTCGGGTGAACATACGACACGACATGCTACGGTACCCGGTTTTCCCGGGTTTTTATGATGGAATGCCCGTACCAACCGAGGGGCATGGACGTCCCTCTCCCCCACCCATGATGCCTCGGAGAGGGGTTATCCTTTCCACCGGATGAGGTACTGCACCCGTCCCTGGCGGGTCCGGGAATCAAGCACCTCCTGCACTTCGTATTGTGACCCGGTGACCGGTCCTGGCGCGGTCGCCGCTGGTGGGGCCCCGGTGACTAACTTTAAGAGACTCCCGTGGAATACGGGATGTATCTTGTCCAGAAAGGGGGGCAGCCATAACCGTACAGTCACCGGGTTGATCACCTGGAGTATCTGGAATGGTCCTACGTATTTGGGGCCTAGTTTCTTACAGGGCACCCGCAGCTTGAGGTATTTCGTGGATAGGTATACCCAGTCCCCCACCCGGAAGGGTCTGTGCCCCGCCCTCTTCTTATCGGCCTGTACCTTTACTGCTGCTTCGGCCTGTCATAAGGCCTCCTTAACCTTTCCCCATAGCTCTGCCACCCGTGCTACCCATGTCTGTGGGGTGTGTGGCGTGACCGTTCCCTGAGGCCACTCGGGGATTGGGGCGAACTCCACCCCATGCACCACCCGAAACGGGGTGAACCCCGTGCTGCCATGCACGGTGTTATTGTACGCCACTTCCGCAAATGGCAGGAGGTCCACCCAATCGGTCTGCTGGTAAGTCACGTAGCTCTGGAGGTAGCGTTCCACCATGGCGTTGGCGCGTTCTGCTGCCCCATTGGTGCTGGGGTGGTATGCAGAGCTGAGGCCCTGAGATGTTCCGAGGAGCTGGAGGAAGTCCCGCCAAAAGCATGCGGTGAACTGCACCCCCCGATCCGAGATGACACGCCGGGGTACTCCGTGTAGATGATAAACGTGTTGGATGAAAAGCCGTGCTAGCCGTTGTGCCGAGGGCAGACCCTTACAGGGATTAAAGTGTGCTTGTTTCGAAAACAAATTGATGACTGTCCAGATCACGGTGTGGCCCCGGCTGTACGGCAGATCAACAGTGAAGCCCATGGCGATCACCTCCCACGGTTGGGATGGGTCGGCTACCTTTTGTAATAAGCCCATTGGCTTTCCCACCCGGGGCTTTGCGGTAGCACAGACGTGGCAGCCCTTCATGTACGTCTCCACATCCGGTTTTAACCTGGGCCACCAAAATTGACGCTGCGCCAGATGCAGCGTCTTGAGGAACCCGAAATGCCTGGCCTGCTTACTGGCCCAGTTTCGGGTTCCTCAAGAGGCTGCATCTGGAGCGCTTGCTGCTGGCGTCAATCTAAATCGTGGGCTGCTTAACCGAAAGCGAGTCGACGCCGACCATCCTGACGTCCCGTCCACCCGTTGCCACGATGGTGGACCCTGGTACCCAGCTTCGCCAAACCGGTCCCGGAGCACGTCCATCGCGTACTTGCCTGGTGCAGTCTAGTAGCTCCATTCTGCCTCGTCATCTCCCGTGACCCGCCGTTCTCTCCATTCCATAAGAGAAGGCCTGGCACCCGGGGTGCGTGCTTGTCCCGTCTCCAAGTTGGTCAACGCAGGACTTTGCCACCACTCCCCCGTGCCGCCTGAGGCTGTAGCTTCCTGGGCCTCACCCAAAGGCGCTGTGGCCCGTGTCACTTTCGGCCTGACCGCTGGCTGCACCTCCAAGGCCTCTGTGACGAGTGCAGGGCCTGTGGCTCCAGCCGGATCATCCTCCTCCGTTCCCTGAGAAGCGTCTTGCTTGCCCTCCGCCATCCCCTCAAACCAAGGGAAAGGCCAAGGAGCAATGGAATAAGGGAGTGCTAACTTACTATCACACCGTCCGATGGCGTCCGATGAAAGAAAGAAAAGCCGGAACACAGGAACGTGGTGCATTCACAGGTAGGTTTAATGCCTAGCCCAAACAAAGTTAGCACTGGGAATGGTCTGCTCCCAGTGCTGTATATAGATGTGCCACGCCCTGTTACCCCGCCCCCAGCCGCAAGCCACCATCCGCCCCATGGTTATATCTGTCCCGGCAGTTCGGCCACGCCCCTCCCAGGAGTCCGCTGTGCCTTGGCGTTCCTCTGTCCTGCCGCACGAAACCGGGCCCCAGGGTGCAGGTCCCGGGGTGGGCGGCAGCAGTCCAACAACCGGGCTGTGTAGCCGCAGCCCAGTCATCGGGGGAAGGAGGGCCCCTTCCCAGCCGTGTACAACGACCTGGCAGCTGTATTTAGCGAAAGGGAGTGCAACCAACTACCGCCCCATCATACAACCGACTGTGCGATTGAGCTCATACCAGGGGCTAAACTGCCGAAGCCCCGGATGTACGCCATGGCGCCCAAGGAAATCGAGGAGTTACGGCGGTGTATCGACAAAAATCTGGCCCGCGGGTTCATCCAGCCAGCTCGTTCCCAGATCGCTTCCCCGGTCCTGTTCAAGGAGAAAAAAGATGGGTCCCTCCGCCTGTGTGTTGACTTCCGGGGCCTCAACGCAGTTTGTGTCGCACATCTATACCCCCTCCCCCTGATGAAGGACTTACTGGCCCAGTTGGGTAAGGGACGGGTCTTTACCAAACTGGACCTTCGGGAGGCGTATTACAGGGTGTGGATACGGCGAGGAGACGAATGGAAGACGGCATTCAATCGCCCACTGGGCAGTTTCCAGTTTCGTGTGATGCCGTTTGGTCTGCAAGGGGCCCCCGCGGTCTTTATGCAACTAATCAATCAGGTGTTGCACGAGCACCTTTACCGCGGGGTGCTGGTCTACCTCAATGACATTCTGATCTACACCGACACCCTGGAAGAGCATGTCCATCTAGTACGACAGGTGTTACGAAAGCTCCTCGACGCCAACCTGTATGTGAAGCTATCGAAGTGTGAGTTTCACCAGTCCCGACTGGACTACTTGGGGTACCGCATATCGGGGGACGGGGCGGAGATGGACCCACAGAAAGTACAGGCAGTGGTGGACTGGCAAGCCCCAGGACGCATCGTCAGTTGCAGAGCTTCCTGGGGTTCGCCAACTTCTACCGACAATTTATCCCGTCCTTTGCTGCCGTTGCCCATCCATTGACGGAACTGTTGCGGACGAAGCATTTGGCCAGCAAGCCAAAACCAGGTCAGCCGCTGGCTTGGACTCTGATGTGCCAAAAGGCGTTCGAGGACCTCAAAACCCTATTCGCCAAAGAACCCGTACTGCTCCACCCGCAGCCTGACGCCCCCTTCGTAGTGCAGGCAGACGCCAGTGACGTGGCAGTCGGCACAGTGCTTCTCCAACGAAACAACCAGGGGGTCCTGCAACCCTGCGCTTACACGTCCCGCAAATTCACAACTGAGCGGGCGTGGGCTATCTGGGAGAAGGAGGTGTTTGCTGTCCGGTGGGCGCTGGCGACGTGGAGACACCTGTTGGAGGGGACAGCCTTGCCGTTCGAGGTGTGGACTGACCATAAGAACCTTGAGGCATTACAAACCCCCCGACGCTTGTTGCCCAAACACGTCAGATGGGCTCAATATTTCGCCCGGTTCCGGTTCACCCTCAAGTATGTGCCAGGGGGGAAGAACTTTCTGGCAGACGCGTTGTCACGCATGCCACAGTACCACAGTAAACGGGAAGAGGTGGTACAGGCAATTATGCCTCCCTACAACCAAGGGGTAGCACGAGTGGCCCCGTGTACGGTGGCGGAGGGCACTTTGCCAGACCTGCGGGCAGCCATGTTGGACGTCTGGCTGCGGGACCATCCGGGTCTCCTAACAATGAGGGAGGGGGTGGCTTGGAGGGGCGACAAGTTGTATGTTCCTGTGGCCCTGCGGAGCACCGTCCTCCACCGGTGCCACGACGCCAAGCAGGCCGGGCATTTCAGGTTCCTCAAGACGCTGCATCTGGCACGGCGTCAATTTTGGTGGCCCAGGTTAAAACCGGATGTGGAGACGTACGTGAAGGGCTGCCACATCTGTGCTACCGCAAAGCCCCGGGTGGGAAAGCCAATGGGCTTATTACAAAAGGTAGCCGACCCATCCCAACCATGGGAGGTGATCGCCATGGACCTCATTGTTGATCTGCCGTACAGCCGGGGCCACACCGTGATGTGGACAGTCATCAATTTGTTTTTGAAACAAGCACACTTTATTCCCTGTAAGGGTCTGCCCTCGGCACAACGGCTAGCGTGGCTTTTCATCCAACATGTTTATCGTCTACACGGAGTACCCCGGCGTGTCATCTCGGATCGGGGGGTGCAGTTCACCGCACGCTTTTGGCGGGACTTCCTCCAGCTCCTCGGAACATCTCAGGGCCTCAGCTCTGCATACCACCCCAGCACCAATGGGGCAGCAGAACGCGCCAACGCCATGGTGGAACGCTACCTCCGGAGCTACGTGACTTACCAGCAGACCGATTGGGTGGACCTCCTGCCATTTGCGGAAGTGGCGTACAATAACACCGTGCATGGCAGCACGGGGTTCACCCCGTTTCGAGTGGTGCATGGGGTGGAGTTCGCCCCAATCCCCGAGTGGCCTCAGGGAACGGTCACGCCACACACCCCACAGAGATGGGTAGCATGGGTGGCAGAGCTATGGGGAAAGGTTAAGGAGGCCTTACGGCAGGCCGAAGCAACAGTAAAGGTACAGGCCGATAAGAAGAGGGTGGAGCACAGACCCTTCCGGGTGGGGGACTGGGTATACCTATCCACGAAATACCTCAAGCTGCGGGTGCCCTGTAAGAAACTAGGCCCCAAATACGTAGGACCATTCCAGATACTTCAGGTGATCAACCCGGTGACCGTACGGTTACAGCTGCCCCCCTTTCTGGGCAAGATACATCCCGTATTCCACGGGAGTCTCTTAAAGCTAGTCACCGGGGCCCCGCCGGCGGCGACCACACCAGGACCGGTCACCGGGCCACAATACGAAGTGCAGCGTCTTGAGGAACCCAAAATGCCCGGATGAGGTACTGCACCAGGGACGGGTGCAGTACCTCATCCGGTGGAAAGGATAATTCTGCCTTGTTCTTATACTTCTAAACACAGGCAATTTCTTCCAGCTTTAAATTACAATGCAGTCCTTAGTAAGCTCTGGGCCCATAACCTGTTAGAGAATTTTAATTTCTCTATTGGTGAAAAAATAAATCAGAAGCTCTCACAGTTGACTGCATTTAGCTGATTCAAATAAACTCTTTATATTCATATAAAATTATTTACAATACCATACATTCTTCTTTACAGCAACATAGCACAAATGAAGACTTCTTACAGCAGAGACAGACCTGAGACTGAAACTGAAACCCAGTTTCTAACTCAATACCTCTTTGCACAGACTCAGTAGCACTTTCTTCTCATTGGCTGACTGAGTCACCACATGACTCTTCCTGCTTATGAATATTCCAACAAGCCTTGTACACAGAAAAGACTAATAGAAAAAATAATCTGCCCCATAACAAATTTACAGCTAATATGTGCATTTTAGGGCTATGCAAATCCTTCAAAAGTGATGCTTCACAATGCTTCATAGCAAAGCAGCTGCCCTTGATTCATTAAGGCAGCCACAACTTCCAAGTTCTGCAATTGTTTTGTAAGCTGCTTCCTACTGTCACAGTAAAGCAAAACAAATTCCCATGCTGGCAGAGACAGCCAAAACAGTTTTTTGTAATAGCCACATGACTCTGGAATCAGAAAATTGAATGAATGAATGAATCAGAAAAATACTTCATATGTGTTTCCACTCATTTTGAAGCCCCTCTTTCCCACAGCAAGACCATGATGTTTAAAAAAAAATCTGCCTAGCTTCTGAACAGTATTCCCCTTAAAGAACAAATAGAAAACTAAAAAAATTGCCTTAAACTGACTATCTAATCTGGTATTTTCAATACTGACAAATATTACCTTTCTAAGGTTTCAGAGAGAGCTTTCTACAGCCCTCTGAAGATGCTAGGGATTAAAGCTGGAATTTTTTTTTTCATGGAATATATGTGCACTGTCACATGTCAAATACTCTATGCTACAGCCTATTCACTGAATAATAATAATAATAATAATAATAATAATAATAATAATAATAATAATAATAATAATAATAATAATAATAATAATAATAATAATAATAATAATAATAATAAAGTTGGAAGGGACCTTGGAGGTCATCTAGTCCAACCCCCTGCTCAGGCAGGAAACCCTATACCATTTCGGACAAATGGCTGTCCAGTCTCTTCCTAAAAACTTCCAGT